TTAAAACTGAGAAACCATGCAGCATGTTCCATATCTGGTTCTCAGTGCCCAACATAAATGGGTTGTACTGTGCTTCAACAATGCTGCATGACATCAGCTTCCAGTGCACAGGCAGGTAACCAGAAATGGTAAAAAAACCCCAAGATTTTAACCGCTCTAAACAGTAAGATTGGGAAGCTTCCTTTAAAAATGTAAGAAGTCTTTGCTTTTGAAAACCTTACACTTAAAGCATTTGTTTTATTTTTCTCAATAGCAAATGCTGGGATAATAGTTCAGCGGGAAGGAGAGAATTCTGTTGCTTTGCTGCTATGCAGTTCATTTGCTGGAATATATTTCAAAGTCATATGATAATCACCGACTATCTGAAATAACAGCTTTTTCCCCCTCTCTTTTACTTCAAGTTCTGTTTTATACTAAAAAAAAAGGGGGGGGGGAGTTATTTTTTAAAGGCTGTGTTCTATGGCATGGAGAAAACAAAAGCTGCTTTCTTCTTTTATATCATGGCAACAAGAAGCCATATTATTCCACTTCTGCACACAGACTGCACTATTATACTGATGAAGGGGAAGAAGTTTTACACTGCTATAGCATACTCCACACCTTATAAATATTTGCACTTAAATAAATACATAAAAAACTTATGGAATGAATGAAAGTATTGCTTACCCCCAGAAAATTATGATTTTTAATGACATCCAAGTATAGTGGGGATAAGGTGTACTTTTGGGTGGACCCCAATTCACTTCCTGTTTTTTAACCCCCTACAGGAAGTTCACTTCTTTCTTATCTTTCCACATATTTTCCCACCAAAAACCTTGCTCTTTCTGTTTTTGAACAAATAAACAAATAGCCATCACTTCTGACATTATGGGCCACTTGGAGTAGGAGGAAGCAAGAATCCCAGGGTTTCAGTGAGCCCTTGTCTGTGGTAAATGTATAATTAAGTGGTTCTCACAACAATATCAGGACCTGGAATCTCTTCAAAGAGAATCTAGAACATTTTGAGTTACTAAAATGAAGTTCTTGAACAGAGCTCACTGCAAATCTTCACTTTACCCCCCTCCTGTCCTCCCCAAAAACAAAAACTCATAATCCAAACACTAGACAGTGTCACAGCAAATACTCCTTACAATAGGAGCTCTACATCAATCCTCATGAATTTGTATTAAAATTCATTTTATATTTTATCAAGACTGGAGAAGGGAAA